TTTTACTGCTTGAACTTCATATTGTTTTCCGTTTTTGACATAATATATCCTTGGTTCCATATGTAAGCCTATTTTCAATATTTGGTAATTCTCTTGAAATTTCTTGTTCTCATACTATTGCAGAATCTAGTTCTTAACTTCCAGCGTTTCTCCGAGTATTTCTGATGCAATCCTAGTTCCCGTTTCATTTGGAATATGAACTCTAACTGCCTTTTAATAAATTCGAAAGACTGTGCTAATAAGGCTTTTCATTTTTTCTTGGTAATGGGCAGGACAGTGTTTGTATAGTAGAGATTACGATGTATGTTTTTGAGTGAACTGTATATGTCGTTGCGGTGTTCAAGTGTTTGAGGAGAAACAACATTCATTTTACTTGTTTCTTTTTAATTCCTGAGCTTTTCTCTCGGTTAATAAGATGTATCTCCTGTGTTTAAAGCAATTTATATTTCGGTAACTCATGGTGTCTTAAATTATAAGAACAACCGTTTCAGCCGAATAATTTGCTCTCATATATGAACTGTGTTAATATGCTACTGACTTACGACATGAATTTGTCTCTTCATTTTGAAAGGTACTTGGAAGTGATATATGAAATATTAAATACAATGTACTTAGATGTTACAAAATAATTCTCAGTGACTAGAGCAATTTAACACTCATGTTATGTCATGTATGATGTTATGTACTTCTTTGAAATCTAGAAGGCTTAAACCAAATCTTAATCTTTGATGACACATTTTTGCAGTGCTGATATGAATTCACAAATCTCCAAATTTGCATGTTCAGTCATTATATTCGTATCGTAAAGCTTCCTAATTTACCCTTTAAACTTCAAGGCATCATTTCTCGTTGTCTTTTAGTCGGCAAAGACTGGGGTAGAGCATTTATTCTAATCGTTTTTCGATCCAAGTAGCACTTCACTTCATATTATCATTCAAAGTACCCCCATTATAGTGCTGAGTCGGTTGCATTCAACGCCATTAAATTATAGTAAAATTCAATTATAGCAAACGTTGTAAATGATTCTGGAAATGATTAAATCCTCTTGAATCCGGCATCTCTATTTCGAGACTGTGCTTCAACAAATTGGCAACATTGAATTTAAGGAAACAGGTCAGATTTCCGTTATTCTCTTGAATCTTCGTTATTGTGGCTCCAGAATTGCTTCGCAAAAAAAAAAAAAAAAAATTAAGCGGCAATACTAGTATGACAAAGGTCTCCGTAAGGCTAGTGGTGAAGATATCTCAGCACGAATGGCACTGCCGCAATAATTGAGAAACCAGAATTTGCTGCAGGAAATATGTTCGGGAATTTTTTGCCCGACTTAGTTAATCTTTTTAAAGCTCAGCAAGTGTATAACAAAGTTTTCTTCAGAAAGTCCTGAAAATTTCAGAGGAATTAAGCAAAAAATGCTCCAAATTGCTCAGTTGGACCTTACACTTACAAGAAGACTTAAATCACACCCAAATAAAATGTGAGATAAGATGAAGTATACAATGAGATGACAGGAAACAAAATTGCTAGTCAGTGAACAATGCACGCTTGCGTATGACAAAAGACGCTACAGTATTAACAAAGGTATTATGGAAAAGTGCATACTAGGGACTGCAAGAAGTTCGAATCGCATCAGTGATGGTTAAAAAAAAAAATGGATTAATGAGATTCCCACTGTCCCTATCTACTATCTAGCGAAACCACAGAAGGGCTTGGCAAACACAGCGGGGAAAGAAGACCCTGTCCGCTGCTCCAGTGTTGTAGTCCAGTGCCAGTTTGTGATGGCTGGAAACTGAATTTTATGTCACTGAAGATAATGTTTCTGTCACTTACTTTACTCATTTACAAGCAAACAACATTGGTTAACACCTGAACACATCACAAGTAATCAAGTTTAAATGCAACGGAAGATTTCAAAAAGAGAAAAAACTGACCTGGTTGGAGTTGCTTTTGAATTTTATGCATCGATGCTAAACACTTGCCAATATGAAACGATTTAAACAAGCAACAGATCTACTAATAAAAGGTAACACCACGACAGCAGTGAATGATCGTTATCTGTAGCTCATATAAATATATTAGTGGTCGAAACGTATTCATACATTCAACAAATTTTAGAAGGTACAGAGAAGAAAGCATAAACAAATGCTGCAAAATTAAGATGACAGCAGGGAGCCAAAAACATCCAGAAACAAACCACTGGATATTGTCGCGGTTTTCAATATCGCGGAACTCAAATTTGTGCAAAAATTAATCATTTAAATTGTGAATAGTTGTTAAGGAAGTTATTAATCGTTTACCCAATTTTAGGTTCTTCAACTTCATTTTTCATGCTGTCGTGAAAGACGAAATATTTAAATTATTATATCCAAAACTAACAAATTCCTCTTATCTAATTCCTTTTCCTCGCACAACAAAAACCCTTTGTTAGCAAACCCTTCGTTAGCAAAACCCTTTATTAGCAGTCTTTGTTTCATATCATTTAAATGTCCTCCTCTGCCGAATATCTGGTCAGTTCAGTTCTGTATATAAACTAATCCTGTTAACAATTTTCTTTGTTCATCCATGAGAAATCCTCCCATCTAATCTCCATTCGTTAAATCAGTCTTATATATAACCCAACCAATCCTTCCATAACCATCATTTGCTTTATGTTTTGGGATGCGTCTAATACTTTATAATTTTGTGTTATTTCACCATTTTTATATTATTGCATTTTTTATAGTTTACGCGTTTGTTAAACGGTGTAGCATCCGTACGATATGTATAAAGCGCTATTATTTGCTTCATGTTAAATAAAGGTTTAATTACCCAAGTTTGAGGTTTCACGACACATGCGTTTCTTTTTGTTATCTTGATCTAGCTGAAAATCACACGTTAATCCTCCAATGATTTTGCTACGATCCTTACACTGTAAGCATCTGTCGTGTATGCAAATGAAATGTGTTATTTGTAGAAAACACTCCCAATTCTTAACACATATATAAATCTGATACTAACAAAAAAAAAAATTACAACTCGTAGCCCTTCCCTCGCCAAAAGGCAACTTACAACAACACGAAATACTCTTCCCTCCTTCCTACTCTGTCTATTAGCACTGTTCATTTTAAAATCATATTATAATAAAGATTCAATAACCTTACCGGTTTATAAACTAGGCGTAACCGACACCAACTGTTTTTCTTCCATGATTGCTACGTCAACTGAACTACTCATTCTACAATCAAGATAAGCCTTCCACACCCTGTTTGTGTTTGACCATCGACAAACTTTCAAGACAACAAATATTTGGTCAGAAAACCGAAACAATTTTAGTAGAAAAATCTGTAAAATTCCTCAATGAGTAATCACATCATAAACTGCAAATGAAGATTTGCAGTGTGCTTACGCTAATCTAAATATCCATCTAAACGTTTCCTGTCTTTCCACATTGCCAATTTTATATTTACCAGTCGTACATATTAACTCTTTCTTTTGCCCACCCCTTTTCATTCTGCATAATTATTTCTGTATTCAACTAAATCCGATCACAAGAGGGGTAAAACGTAACTGGATTGTGTTGTAAGATTCCTTCATAAATCAGGTATATGGAACTAAATTTAGAGGATTGCCCTTTTTCTGGATTTTGATTTGTTGACTTTTGTGGTCCTGCTTATTTCACAAGTAACAGTCAGTTCTCATACTTTTCGTATTACTTTCAATCGTCAGCGATGGAAAAGAGCGTTCCCCATATTAACTTGCTATAAAAAATTTCCTCTAATTTTCTACAAAAAATAATCCTCACTACTCAAATATTTCAAAACCTTTTCTTCTCCGACACTGTATGCCATGTCTCACAAGAGTTTTGATAAACGTATTAAAATCGGTAAGCATCATGAGACTAGCAAAGATGAAACAAGTCCTGTTTAAACGGAGACAAAATAAAATAAAACAGATATGTACTTTTATTTCCTTTATCAAAGCTCTGTAAAATAGATTTTTCGTTTACATAACGGAATAATAAACATTTAGGTATGAGGTAGAGAGCTACAGGAGATAATAGCTAAAATTTACAACACGAAAACTAAACTAATAAGGTCACCCGAAAACGAAACAGCTTTGGAAAACATTTGAGGTAAAGAAAAAATGGGAATTAATGAAGCAGACAGAAGATTAAAAACTTGTTAAAAGAAATCTTAAAGGAATCAAAAAATATCCATACAATTAAGGAATCTATGCACTCGATTATTCGCCACTTTTCACCTCATTTTTTTGGGATAGGAAAAAAATTATCAAAGTTAGATTTTCTATATTTCATTACAGGAATTATATAGTACATTTGTAGGTTGCTTTGCTTCGTAGTGCTCTTATTCATCCATTCTTGTAAGCGGGCCGTTGTTTACAATAAGGACAACATCACTAAATTCTGTATCATGTGCCACTCTTAAAAGTTACACTTCATGAATTATAACCTAGACAATCTTAGCTGCGCGGCACTTTAAAACTGTGGAAAATTAGTTTTAACAAGGTATAATAATATAGCCACATATCAAGATTTTTTGTGAACCAACAAGTGGAGAAATTATCGAGATGCATTGAAAATATCACGATTATTCAAAGAAAATTAAGCAATAATATATGGCATCAAATGATTCAAATCCTGTGGAGAGGCAAATGAACGTGAGGAAAAACACTTCTAACATTAAAAGAAAAGTACTTCTAATAGCCTACTGAAAAAACAGATTCGAAAAGCTAAAATGTTCTACGGGCAAAAACACCATACTGAATGCTTGAAAAAGGAAATTCACTCCTTCAATGATACTAGTTTTAAACTTTCTTGATTCCTACCGAAAAAAACTGAAACAGTCTCTGAATGAACGAAAGATTTATAGAAATTCCGGGATTTATTTGGGAAATCAGCAATAAATTTGTCGGCAACACCTCTTGACTCATCATTTCTAGGGAAAGTATTAGCGTTTCGATTATTCTGGACAGCATTAGCTATTTTTCTGCTTTGATACTGACATTCAGTTTTCTTCTAGATCAATACAGTTCTGAAACTCCCTTCTTGGAAATGAAAAAACGGCACCACAAATGTATAGAATTAATAAGAATACCTGTAAAGCTGCACAGTAATGTAACATAAGAACCGCGAGAGCTTGCAATCTATCCTCCAATACCGCAAAATTAATAGAACCTGAGCGAGTATATTTCATTACATTCAAGCGTTCAATAGTTATCTGATGGATAACGTTTCGAATTTTCTCCATCTGTAGTCTACATTATGGTTTAATAAAAGGTTAAAATAAATTAATGTTAAAAACGGGATAACAATTAAAGGAAGCGAAAAACTATGTATAAATTAGAAATTCATTACGAACATCTTGAAGTGTCACTTAATCATTGAAGATTAAAATTCCCAGAAACGATTTGCAACTGCATTCACAATGCACATCGTTCATGATTTTTTTACAAAAATACTTCCTACGCAGTAAACAACGCGACTGTGAAAAGAAACTTGCATCTTCATTTATTTTCGCTTTTCTGCTGACAGGATCTAGATCAGCGAACATATTTTTGCCAGCTATTTTGGCAGCATTTATCATCTGTTCGTTGTATGCATTTCCTGGTTGGTACATCATTTGGCTTAAATTTTCCGAAAGTTCCAACATGGAAAAAACATCCGGTATTGCTCTCTAAATAAAAAAACAAACTAAATAATGCAATAAGAATTTTATATTTTTGGGAATACATATCAGTTTAGAGCCCGTCCAATTACTATGTCAATTTAGAATAAATATCATAGAGATACGCTAATTTCATTTCTAAAGTGTGTTTAAACTCACCCCGACTGGTACCACTTCATCGGCCCCCATTTGAATAGCAGAGGTTTTCCGCTCTAAAATTTATAGCTTCAGATAAGATTAAAATAAAGATAAAATTCCTAAGGACTGAGTAAAATCACTAACCAATCATTCCTTTATTTTCTTTTAATAAATGGAAAGACGCTCTCCTACGTCCGACACTTTTCCATGTAGAATTAAGCCTTTCAGATACTTTAACTGCAATGCGACGTCGCCAAGATAGTAGTTCCTCAGATCCTATCAAACAAACACTTTTCAATAAAAGCACGTACTAAAAATTTTTCAAGTTACGGCTCAACCGAAATTAATTAATTAGGGGGGTCTATATTCAACTCGTTCAAAACCGAAAATAATCAAATAATCCAATGCAAAACAAAAATATTAAAAAAAGTGTCAGCATTCGAAGTGAATACTTTTGTCCAGCGAATATAAAGTGGTTCGTTCCGCTGTCAAGCATACCCAGTCTTCCTGGCTAATCCAATTGCTTGTTGAGTTGTAGCTCCTCGTTCTGTTGTTGAAAACCTAATCCTACCCTCTCATAAGCTCCTTTCTTCGACGATCTCTTCTTATCCAATGTATCGCTAATGGATGTTGCTGGGAGATCGGAACAAACAAACAGATTGACTATTTCTCCTTGGATATGGAGTACAACTCCTTATATACATTTTCAACTATTTCTTGTCATCGATACGCTTCTTTTTGACCAAACCGCTTACCAACTATTCTGTTTGCTTGGCTAACCCTTTACCTATATGCGTTAACAAATACGAATAATCCGTATCAAAAATGGATTATGAGCAATTTACTGTGCACAGGAAAACGAATTTGATTTCGACCACGATATTAACATCCAGTTACATCCTATAGACAGCAGTATTCACTTGATGCTATTTATTTTCTTGACAGGCATATAATTAAGATGTATTTTGAATTCATTAGAACTATGATCGAATAAAATGCTAACCTCAAATGTAGAGTCGTTGATCGGATGTCGATAGGAACAGGAAGTCTCAATCTTAGGTAAGCATTTGTTATGACATACCAACAAACAGCTTGTACAGCGCGAAGCCATTTTTAGCCAAACTTTTCCTCGACAAACTGTACAAATAGTTGTATCTCCGAGAAATAAATGGAAGTGAAATACAAAAGAAACTTTTTGCAAAAAAAACTTATGAAAGAAACCTCTCAGCAATATAGTTTCGAAATTATGCTTGGTTTTCAATGATCTTTCAGAACTCGCTCTGCTGATTTCTGTGACATTTTTTATGTATTCAGCGTTTTCTACACTAAAAATTTAAACATTCATAACAAGTTATAAAAGTGAATATAATTTCATAAACCTGTCAAATATCTGCGGATAGTGTCATTTGAAAAAGATTTCGAACTAAATTTTTTGGCAGTAACTTAGAAACACAAACAAAATTAGAGGTTCTATTAGTGAAAGCAGTTTTAAAATTCCTTCTGCTTAATAAAGATATAAATCTTCTTGAAAAGAATCAAAAGCAATAGAAAAAAACCTTGATCTGTTCTCAGAATCCTTTGGAAGACCTGAGGGGAAATAACGAAAGCCTAGAACAATATCTCCATAACAAAGACGTTCATCAAAACCAGCTCGCCGACTCTCTTCAACCGCTTTTCGTGTTAATAACCGCCTTAAAAAAATAAAAATTCAGAGCAGAAATTGACTTCAGCGTCAATTTTCCTCCTCAGGACTAAGTTAGTTAAACTCACCTTGATGCACTCCAAAATGGCGGTCGCAATGTGAACAGTTCTTGATAACAGTTGGACAAAGTGAGCTGACAATCGTCTAGCACCTGCGGGAGGTAAATACTTATCTGCAATTGTATACATGTTAATTGAAAATTCTCGGGGACCTTTTAGTGGTTTTTCAATCCCAGTCAAAAAAACGAACATATTCCAGCATTTGAGAATCATCCCTTGTAATTTGACTGTCCTGTGAACTGTCCTGTGAAGTGGTGCCATCCGCTGCTTTAACAGTCAGTGGCCTCGCTCGCACAATTAGGTTCAAATATTTGCAAGTATCTTCACTGAGATCAAAATGCAGCGACTGATCCCAAAGAACATCCTGAAAAAGAAATAACATTACTTAAACTTGCATCAGTAAAATCAGTAAAGCTGTTCTATTATTAGAAGTAACGCACAGCTACTATTAGTACAAGTCGGAAAGCCATATAACTAAACCATGCTTAACTCTCATTGGCCAGCAGTTTAAACGGCTTTATTTTCGCTATTACCATGTGACATTTTTATAAGAGATTGGAGATTCTAGGAATAAATATACATCAACAGAATATGATTGTTGCTAAATACGCAATCATTCCCACCTTGCTCGACTTCTCTTTGTGACAAGCATTTCACAATTTTTTGAAGTTCATTCAATAGTAGAGCTACTATTCACTACTCACTATCCAAATCATCTCCCAGAGTTTTAAACTAAAGACATCCTATAACTTAAAGGACCTACATTCTTCACAAAAATATGAAGAAATAAACACGAAACCATTAGCATTAGCAGTTTAATTTGCGAGTAGATAGAAAGTAATGATATGACAGACTAAAGAGTAATCCTTCATATAAAATGAATACATATATCCAAAAAATGAACCATCGCTTAATATCTACAAAAGCGCTCCATTGAGCAACTGAGCAGCCCATGTCAAAAATGAACAACTACCTCGCTTCAAAATGGCGTAAAAGATCTAGACAGAAGTCGAATTTTCCTACATAATTCGACTTGCATTACGGTATAAAAATAATAGATAGAAACAGCCAAAGTAAGATGAAACATATATACTACAAGTTTCAAGTAATTACGCCATATTCATCATTAAAAATAACTTAGCCCGCAAACAGTACAGGTTCAAGCATGACATATACAATATGTAGTCCTATCAGCTCTAAAAGATGGAAGAGCTACAGCAACATTAATAAAATGAATTCTCAACTAAAAACGAACTTCGCTCATCGCAAGTGACTTTGTGACTAGTGTTTTTGGAGGAACATTCCACAAATCATGTCCATCACTTTGCGTGGGAATTGATCTGGAATATGATGGATGAATTCTGAGCTAAACTATAAAAGTTATATGAAAAAGAATATTCGAATCTACTTACCTTTTTGTCTTGCATAAAGGATTTCTTTTTTTGCTCCCTAAGGCTGACGCAGGAAATGAAGTACGTGGAAGCACCTGAGAAAAAAAATAGTCATTTATAAAGATCATTCCCGTAACTGTTTCTTAATATATAAAATATAGGTTAAGAACTGCGTGAACGTCGGAAAAGAGTGCAATCACCTTCCCACATATTGTATATCGGTCATACGACACCATTTTGTAGAACTTATCACAATAGGATATTTAAGTTGCAATCTGACAGTAATCTAACCAAATAGGTGTATCCCCAATTTGGTTAAATATTTCGAAATAAATATTTTGCATAAATTTACAATATCCAATGGATATCACAGCCATTATTATGTTTTACTCAAATTACAGAAAAGGCTTGTTCACTAACAAAACACATGTAATTGAAATTAAGCAATTTACCACGTCAATATCATGCTGTGATAGCGCATCCACCCCAACTTCAGCACCAGAACCAGCATCCTTATGCCGGTACCAAAGGTCGGACATTCTAGCTTTTCCTGCTGCCGCCATCTCTGCTGCTCGAGCCTTAAACTCCATAAGTAACATGAATTGACTATTAACTAGATATTTTCCAAGAAGCCATAATTAACTATTACCTGAAATCGTTATCTTCGAGAACCTCGCAGAAAATCTTTTGTACGATTTTCACAAACATCAGCATTGAAAATGCCAATGCTGCTATCTTTCTTTGTACTTACTGCATGTAACATAACACAATCTTCAGCCATATTCGTTAGCGTTCTTTTAGTTTCCTGATATAACTAAGCAGAATCCAATAAAAGGAATAAGAAATATATTATCTTCATACATTATTTTGCACAACGCTGATCATTACAGTGAATTCATTCCCTGCTGTTGGCCCTTCAACTAGATCCTCCACTTTTAGTGATATAAATTATGAGTAAAATCAACTTCTGAAAAACTTTTTATAGACTTATCATTTTCTCTCGAAAGAATTCCGTACCTTATATGTATAGCAAGACAAATTTTCAAGACTAGAGGTGAATAACGGCCTCAGCCTTTCGCTGTTCAAACAAACACCTTCTGTTATTTCAGCTTCAGACCTTCAAGCATCATAAATTAATAGAACAAATTACGAATACTCTAAAACTCCAATATAATTTCAAGTTAAATTAAAAGTTTACATTCACAGTACAATCCACATGGAAAAACTGCAGTTTCCTATTGCTGCAAAGTAAGAGTTTTGTGAACTTACCTTGCGCGCCTAATACGGCCATGTTCCCTCAGATTACAATCATGCTCAGTTTCAGACTGTGCAAATTTCATCAGACCAGAATGTTCCAACATTTTCGAAAAATCAATAAAATTGCCATCTGCGCATAAATGGAGCTTTCTTTTGTATTTCAAAACGTTTGCCGTAAAGTTATTTGAAGTTACATTCGAATTAACTGCTGTTGAAATCCGATTACGCTGGTGATTACCTAAAAGCGATTTGTGTCAGGAAATTTTCAATATTAAGCTGCATTACAAAACGTCTGAAAACAATGAGGCAAGAAATGTCTGAACAAATAATGTCTGAACAAATACCTTTCTCCAACACTTTCGTTTGCCCACTTTTATGCTTTACATTTTCAGAGACCTGAGGGACAACGATATCATCGAAATCGCCAAGAGAAGTACCTTCTAAAAATTAGAAATCAAATTCTTCATGAACGAAAATGTGGAAAAGAAACTTCAATTGTCAATTTCCGCTAGCTTCAAAATAACAGAGAACAGTTTCCTAAGAGTCAGTCAAAAAAATTAAGAATACAAAATAAAATGAGTAGATTCATAAACAAAAATTAATTTAATGACTGGGAAACTTTCTGACCGCTTCCTTATTACTTTTCTTATTCTTTGGTAAAGTATTTGAGAAAAAAAAGATTTTTCAGGATTAAGAAATACAACAAAACACGGAACTTAAAGGCAAAATAAAAAGATCTTATGAAAAAAATGTCATAATGTTATATTCTGTTATTATTCTTAATAACAGAGCTATCGTAAAAGGAAAAAACTAACCGTCAATATTGCTGTACTTTTCACAAATCATTCGATCAACTAAGACATTCAATTCACTGAAAGTACCGGAAAGTAGTTTGTTCAGCTGACGTTCACTCATAACTGGAACGTTATTTACAGCAAGGACAACATCACCTTAAATTAACACATTCTACATCATAAGAAATGAAATAAAATGATTTTGTGAAAAAAAAAAAAAAAAAATAATGCCTGTACCTGCTTTAAAACCACATCTTTCAGCAGAGGAAAAGCTTTCCATAGTTGAAACTTGTACGGATCTGACTCCGGTGTTGGAAATGAGCTAAAAAAAAAAAAAAAAAAAAACTGTTCAGAATTGGTGATAACAAAAACGAGTGGAGGAATAAACTATGCAGAAAGTATTAGATTGAATACGGAATTATTCGAAGTCTCCAAGATTTTCAGAACCAAAATCACTCTAGCTCTCAAGATGTATCGAGCATTGAAAATATTTGTAAACATCATTCACTAATAAAGGCTGAATTCTAAAAGAAAATTTAGGAAGCTCAACAATAATTTTGCGAAAATACTCTCCATAAATTTCCTGAACAGAATCAGAACGTAAAATCGGAACGATATTCAATATGATTTTCAAAAGTAAAATACGAAGAATATAAAGTTACTAACTTTCTTTTTAAAAATTATTGTAAAGCTGACTAAACACTATTCAGGAAAAAAAAAAGCACTACACGGAAACTATTACCACTGAAATCAATCTGCCCACAAATGACTCCAATTTCTTTGAGTATACTTCCTTATGTATACAAATATGTGCTTGCAGCAATCTATCAAGTTAAAGCTTATGCGAATCTCTGTCCAACATGTTGTATTCATCAACAATAACATTAACAAAACTCGATGAACACTAACAAGTAGCCGAAAAATTCTAAATTTCCACCATACATATATTGCTTCTAGTATTTCAAAATCTCGACCACAATACGAAGAAAAAAATTCCTTTTCCTTTTCCCTGTTCATAACAACATCTATATGTCCAAATACTGATTTTCTGTTCAAAAAATAGTCGGCAAAATGGAAAATAATACAGATCAGAAGTTAAACCGAAAAAAAAAGAAATAATTACCTGAACAAACATATAAAAAGTAAATAACAAGTACTCTAATAATAATATCACTTATGAATCTAACACCTTATCATTAGGATTTCCTCCTACTCACAACTAGGGAAAAAAAGCATAAAGCGAAACCTTTTAGAATGAATTTACTTTCGAAAATGTCAACCCAATCGACTCACTGGTACCGTGCCGATTAAAATTTAATAATACGGTAATGCATCGCGTTGAACTTTTGCTTGCAATTTCCATTAGCGGTCGATGATCTGTTTAATAAGTATATATCAGATTTAAGTTATTTTCCAAATTTTTGGCATATTTTATTTTCTTGGATCAGCAAACAAGAATACAGAAACAGTTCCACATCCCTAATTATAACTAATTATGAAAAGTTTGCACTGTTTCTTTTTTAAATTAAATTATTTACATCGTATTTTATCTAAAGACAAATAACGCAAAATCAAGAATGAAGTCAATTTACCTATAGATACAACACAGAAAACCTCTGAATTTCCGTTATTGACTAAAGCGGTGTTCAGTCTTGTACATCGTAAAACCGTAACTTCCAACAAACCCGATGTTTTAATATATTCAAAAGAATCTGAAAACAGATCATTTCTCTAAAAAAAATATAGATCGAAAAAAAAAAAATACACAGTATAAATAAATAGCTGCTACAATATTGCTATTAAGAAAACAATGGCAATACATACAAATATTTTATGATGCTTTTTGCACAAGTTCATTTAACTCCGTTAATTTTTTTTTTTTAAAACTCTACTGTACAGGCACATAATTTAACTGAATATATCGGTCTAAACCGCTCAGTGTTATCTTAACAATCTTCTGCCTGTAGGTTCTGAAGATTGTCTAATCGTTATTCATCGCCATGATAGCATTTCTGACTGTAAAACATTTGGACATCGCCTATATAAGTTACCTGTAGATGGAGAAGGCTGATATAAGGGATTAGGAAATAGAGGACGATATCGAATCTTGTAGTTCGGCCAAACATGCTTGCGTTGAATCATACGTCTAAATTTCTGTGTGATGAAAGGTATGAGATGTTTTACTTGCTTGCCTTGCCACTGTGAGTCAATCTGAAAAACAGCACTCTGCATTTCCGATTTAACGAATTGTCAATTCGCAATTCTCTTACAATTTTGTGCATTATCACTATCACATATGAAAAAAAAAAAAAAAAAAAAAAAAAAACGAAACGCAAAATACCACTACGAAATGAAAAAATAAAAAACTAAAGAACTGTATCACAGATCTCACTTGGAATTCCAGCGTTGGCATATCAACAAATGCAAAGACCCAATGAGTAAAAGGCTCACGAGTTAGTTTCAACCTGATTTTTCCAGAAAGACGAGTGAGCTAAATGAATTAATAAATAAAAAATTACATGGATATACAATGATGGTCCAAAGTTACTTCGAAACATTTCTTGATAACCAGAAAATGAAATGAAAACCTTGATTGACAGTTGCGCAAATCGGCCAAACAGCATACTAATATCAACAGAACTTTGAAAACCCCCGCTATAATCTATATCAGCAAGCAATTTTAATGTCTGGAAAAGAAACATTTCCTAATATATTTCTGTTTCGCTTTTTTCTATTTCTCACATATATCTTAAACTCGAAAAGTGTAATTTTAGAACTGACAAAAGACTAACCGAACTCAATATATATATATAATAGTAACTCGTATCTAGCAAACGTCAGCTTATTTTGCATTTAATTGCTTCTCGGAATATGAGACATAAAATTTAACAATGAAGTGAAAATACTCATCTTGCGACAGTTCATAGCCTTCCACACGTATTGATTTAATCACTGGGGATCTGCAGCCAATCGATAGCTCCCTAATACGAATATCCTAAAACAGAAATGTTTTAAAGAGGAGAAAAAAAAATGCTTTCCAAAGATTGTAAGTTGCATCAATGGATCGAAAACTTTATCTAGTCTGCATTTTAGAACAGCTATTTCACCATTCTCCACCAATATATATAGCACTGCAAAAACTTCATACTTCTCGCAAATTTCATTCACTTGGAAATTAGGAAGTCTTTGATTGAAGGTGATTTTTTTTACTACGGAGTGGTCAGAACTGCAGTGGAACTGATGATATTGTGATAGATGGCACACCTCCTAGAGCTGCGAGAAAGGATTAATAGCAAGATCCAGAGATAAATCTAATGTACTTGTACTATTCTATAAATCATTTGCAGAATTGAAATAGACCTGTATGAGACGACCAGCAGTATTTCGAGTGGTTAGATCATTAAGCTCCAACTGAAGCTTTCTGTGGATCCACCTGTAAGATATTAAAACACGTGACAGTTAACTGCATCTATAAGGAATATAATTAAACTTTGAATTGAAGTCGAAACTAAAATACCTTCGTAATCGACGAGTATCCCTGTGTTCTTGGAATAGAAAATGAAGAATAAGACTCAGATTGAAGCATGATTCCCACTCAGAAACTCGGCTTTCATCATTCCCTTCCTTCAGGAAATGTCTCAATTCCTGAAAGACACATTCTTAAATAAAGAAAGCAATGTACACTATTCTACTCCCCTTTAGAGCTGGAAAAAATTACCTCAGGAAGGCGAAGTGGCTAAAATCGGTCAATTATTATGGCGTGTGAAGAGATTTCACCGAAAGGATTGAATAGCAATACATAAATGACAAAAAGCATTAAAACTGCGCCAAAAAAGACGCCCCATAAGAATCCTAGCATTTACATTAATGACAGTATCGCCACCATATAATATTCACTCAATTTCTTCAGCTATTTCTCTAGCAGTAGCTGAAAAAAGTTATCATTAAAATTTACTGAGAAAAGGTGTTGTCTCTCGGCACCATGTCAACAAATGTCGCTGTAATGTATGAAACTATATGTTATAGTTAAACCATCACGACTTCTATGCGAACACCCTAAAGCTCAAGGTAGCACATGACATAGTTCAGAGGTCTTCCTAAAGGACGGTGTGAAGAAGAAAGTATCTCATACCCAAACATGCTGCAGTGGTTGGAATTAAAGACTTATATTTCGATCAGCAGAAGATTAATTTTAAAGTGAGCAGAATTACTATCCAAATAGTCTGCAATATATATATATATATCTTTCCTATTTTTTTTTTCCTATATCTGTTATATCTTTCGTATATCTGCAAAGAGCAGCGCTACTTCCTTGCCACCAGTTCCTAAAAAACCCAAGATGAAACTGTAATGTTCTTATGATATAGATCTTGGTTTTTTTTTTCCTTCTACCGCACGCCGCCTATGTAGTTTTCTCACGTATCTTGATGTCAAAGTCCTGCACAGTAAACAAAATGTTGTTCTCACTGTGTAAAACACGCAGTAACGCAATCTGCCGACCATCACACTACTTGTACTAGCCTAAATTGAGCTCAGTTGCTACTTTATTAATTATAACAGGTCGCACAAGAAGGCTGGAATATTTCCGAAAACTTGACGAATTCACGTCTTTTTCATATGCTTAAACATAGCACATACTTCAGTCTGAAAAAAGCATATGATTTAATAACAGTATCTATTGGACCACATCAGTTACTGATATACATATTTTATGGTGAAAGCAACATATTGACTATCAGCATGTGTTAAGAGACTAATGTAAAATCCTCAGCCTTAAGTGCACTTAGTTATGTACAAAACAAAGACATCAATCTCATCCGTGAACTCCGATGAGATCGCTTATGTGCTTCTGGATAAAGAACGAAAAGAGACAGATAAGACAAGGAAGGACAGCAGTATATCTCGCATACTTTTATTCTTTGTAAAAAAATGCGTAAACACACAAGATTAAAATAATCTCAAATATATGCGAAATCAACGAGGTCATCACTGCTAAACCAGCTGCAATGACATTACTTAGCGAAGCAGAGTGAAAATGAAGTCAGTGGCAGTGTAAACCATCTTCCCCATACCCCATATTTCTGGGTATCATCATAAGAAATGGTGCCTACATATTCTGGCAAAACTATGATCTTAAAAATACCTCTGCTGAATCTCTTCATACAGAAAAAATGGGAGAAAAAAAAAGTTTATGAGGCTTTATTTGTCCATTAACATTAAATGTAAGAAGAAATTTATAGTTCTGCATATTCAGCCTTTTGGACTTCTATATGAGAAAAGTGGAAAAAGACTTCCAACATCTATGGGCATATATTAGGAACACTGAAATGTTAAGCGAGGCGTAACACCTTCACTACTTTAAGCGGAAATAAGGAATCCAATTAATCTAAAAAGTTCATCCCAAAATGTGGCAACATTATTCAGAAAAACCTGAGGATAAATAAACATATTATACAAACTCCACAAAATGCACTTACTTTACATATAACGCACAAAAAGTTTATACTGTACAACTTCAAATATCATTATCTACAGTTGGGCCATAATCTTTGTTGATAGCTGCAAAGAATTAAAAACGCAATAGGTTATCGCCAATGAAAATGAAAACAAACCAAAACACGAATCATCACCAAAACCCTCAAGCATATTCGCAAAAGTAAAATATTCTATTTGCTGCATAAATATGCTATAAATAAAGTTAAAGTTTAGGATTCCACGACAAAGAAAACCGGATAATGAAACCATCAACTATATATCAGCTTCGAATACATCTGTGCGCGAAGTACAAATAAGATACTCCCTGAACTCCATAAAACTTTTTCTCTTCAAATGTTCCAGGTACAATACTCTCAGCTAATTCTCAAATACTACAACTGAATTCATCAAGTAACTTGTCTAACTTCTGTCTTCCACAGGATAACAGTAAATGCGAGAAATTTATAGTTCCGCACATTAATGCCACTAGAGTGACTACACCCTAATTCCTTGGGAAAACAAAAACTCTACTGGATACAATCTACACTTACACAAGTATGCTGTCACGAAAACTAACATATTCACAGGCACCCATCCTTCGGCAGCGTATTCATTAAGAAATCCACATAATCCAAAAGTTATAAAATGACCAGACAGAATGAACAATAAACAATATGAGCTGGGCAACTATTACCGAGAAAACGCTCCTTAAAAGGATTATGTTAATGGCAATTGTAATACCATTAAATTTCTTTCTCGAATCACCATATTATTTTTCAATTCATTGATCATACCAGCAACAAATATTCACTTCCTAGATTAAGTGGTTCTAGAACAAAGCATACATCGCAATGCCCAACAGTGATCATGACAATGTAGTGATAAGCAATTATAAACAAAGCAATCATGAACTGCGATAGAAAAAAGTTTCATAAACAAAGCGCACTTGACAAGATATTTGATTTAGCAAGCAAACGACAATATGCAGTGCATTATTTGCAGCGAAACCCTGCAGAAATAAGTAAGTGACTGCTTATCTCAATGCTATAAAAATGTTTAAACCTTCAATTTAGTTATGTGAAGATGTTCGACTGACTCACAACTACAGCAGTCCCATTATAATAGATTTCAGTCTAATCAGAGCGACCTGCAACAGTGAATATAACTTGCGAGCCTAACTACCTTTACATAAAGACATCAGATGAAAGAGACGACAAGCACAAGCTACCGGCAATGCTTTAACAAAATCAGAGACAATATGGTTCTGATGAGCATGAACAGTGTTCATAAGGAAAGCAACCACACTCTTTATTTCTTAAAAAAAGAGAAAAAAAAAAAAAAAAAACTCTACAAAGTTACAAAAGTAAGTGATTTGAAGTACTGGTCCTGACCAAACCATGTGTAGTTTCCTCTCTTGTTTGAACAGTGATCGTCTGTAAAAAAGGTTCCAACCGTACACTTAATCTGTTTCCTGCGCATGAGCTTTCAGCACTATATTTAGTCTCCAGATCCATTTTTGGAGGACAAGAGCTGGATCTCTCATCACTCTCACTACCAGCTCTTGCAGGAGAAGACTCCTCCAACGACATTGTTCTAACGCCAACATTGCAATAAATTTCTTCCTGATTTGTTACACTTTCTCCTGAATCCGAGCTGCTTGATGCAGCTGAACTGTGGTAATGTTCCGGAAGCTGACGAAATATATCATCATCTTTATCGTAATATATTTCTGCACCAGGGAATATATTTTTGTTTGGTACTATCTATAAAAGTCAATACATAATGAAAGTATAGTGAACACACGCATTTCTGTAAACAACCACGTTACTAATTTTATATCCTGTATTGGTACCAGTCCAGATTATTCCCACAAGAGAAGAAAAACAATTTTCGGCATCATCAAAATGTTAAGACACTTCTATTCTTTCTTTAAAAAAATTTTTTTAAAGCATTTTTAGCACCAAAAACTATGATTTCTCATACCTTCTACAGAGATTATGGCTTTGATTTTGAACAATTTCTGAAGCCAGATAAGTTTGCAGTAAATCCGAAATCTCATCTTCCTACTTTTCTCACTTATAAGTCAAATTATTTACAAAAAAAAAACTACCAAAAAAATGTTAAGATGTATTTCTTTACATGAACAAAAGGCAGATTTAAAAATGTAAAAAATAGTGAAGTACGAGAACTCACAAAAAGATAACCATCAACAGGAAGTTTCGATCCC